CATGAAATATTCAGATTTCACTAATAAGATGCCACCATTGTATTCCAACCGTGAAATTTTCCTGCTTCAAAAACTAACCGGCCTCCTCCACATCGAATGCTGAGTTAATTGTTTTTCCACAAAGTTCTAGCACCGTTCAGTGTTTCCTCCGAGTAGGCAAGCTTTTATAGTGACTCCGTGGTCACCGTAGCATAGAAACACAAATGGACAAGTGCATTGTAACAGTCTCCTTTCAGGGCTTGTTGCATACAAGAAGGTAGTCAAATAAAAGTCAAAACAAGTCCAATCTGAACTTTAGCTGACAGTATCTTTTGGTGCCTGCAGATGGCAAAACAGCTGTGCAGCCTCCAGTCTTGCCTTCACCTCTCCCAGGCAAGCAGATAACATTAGAATCCCCCCCCCACCCCCACCTCTTTGAGGCCATCATACTTGAACCGTCCCTGCCTTCAAACAGGAGGCTTTAGCATTCACTTGCCAGAGCAATTAATTACGCAGTTTGACAAATGGAGTCCACCCAGAGGTCAAACTGCTCCTGGCAACAGGGTCCATAGCCTGCCAACCGTGCAACGCAATTCCTGCCCACAGAGCTCACTCAGCCTGATCTTAAACCGCAATATCTGGTGCCAAGTTCAAACTTCATTACGAGAATAGAATTTCCAGAATCCCAGTCTGCTCTGCGTGCACTGCACAAGTCACTGCTATATAAATCACCACAAAAATTTGAAGCCTGAATAGTAGTAGCGTCACAAAGAAGTCATCGACGTCATTCGGTTGGGAGAGGTCGTGGACCTGCCGTCAAAAAGGGCCCAAGCAGCGACAATTCAATCATTATTACCGTTTGGTCTACACAATTGGGCAGCGTCTCGGGGCAGCGTCTCGGGGTGCTTAACAGCAAGATCCTGGAGCCGAGCCAGGTGGGGGAGGGAGGAGGTGACCTTAAGCACAGTCAAAGAGAAAGGTGTTCAGTCGTGATTTAAAAGAGGGGAGGGTTTGATTGATAATTCCACCCAAAGTGTATCTTCTACATTCTTCAGCTTTCAACAAATTTAAAAAGAAGTGAATTCTCCATGTTGAAACCAAGAAAAAAGTCAAAAAAATTGGGTTGTGAGCAGAGGGAAACAGATGTAATATAATCGTTCAACGTTCACTATCCCCCAAGGGAAACCCAAGAAAAGTTACAGGTTTTTATTTCGATTCATCTTCAAGTTCGAAGCGGTTGAGTCTGAAATGGGATTACCCCAAACATTTGCCTAATTTGGGGAGGAGAGAGTTATTTTTGGAAAGGGGATTAAACTCACATATAAAAACACACATTGGGAATTAAAACTGAGACAACTGTTAGGTCAAAAAACATTTCTAGCAGATTTAATAGGCTTTAACCCCCCTCCCGCCACCCGCACAGTAGAGCCAACTAGACTCTGATCATCATGATTCTTCCTCCATCATGCCTCTCTGAATCCAATATCTGACTCCTGAAATCCAGCAATGTATTCTGAATCAACAATGCAATTGTTAGGATAGAGAATATGAAGTACAGAATGATGTCAGGCTGGATAATACACTAACGCCACACACACAATACAAAGTGCATTGCCAACAGGAAATGTTGGCCAACAGGAGCCTGCCTAGAAGATCATTCCACTCCAACATTCAGCAGGGCCAAGTATAAATGCCAACACAAAAGCCCAAGGCTTTGTTGGCCTTACTGAAGTCTGAAACTATCCATTCAAATGGACTTCTAACACTGAAGCTACGCTTAAATATTTTTCCCTTGGAGCTGAACTGCTACAAGAAGGGAGTAAACAGGAAAAATAAATGAATGCAAAATATATTCATCAATCAATTCCAAATTAATACAATGGAGGAGAGGAACAGAATGCTGATACTCAACATGAAGAAGCTGATATGAAGAATGGCCAATTGAGTGAGGTACCAGAGGGCGCCCAGCAAACACCCAGCATGTCAGCAGCTTCAGGAAAGGAAGGGAGAAAAGCAAAGAAAAATTAAAAGCGTCTTGAAGAAAGACCTTTATAAATATTTCACATTATTGAGTCAAACATGCTCTTTAATATCAGTAATACTAGTGTGCAATTCAGTCCTAGCTTCCTGTTCAGGAAGTCAATGAGTGGAAAGATAAATAATGAGATAATATTACAAACTGATATGGTCAACCATTGGAGGAAAATACATCTCTTTCAGAGTTTTGAAAGAAATAGTTATTCTTTAGATTAGATCAGAAACATTTTGGAGGATATGTCCCAATAGATTGTCTGAGAGTATATTGAGCCGCACAGATCAGAAGAGTGCAAGGTCTAAATCCTGATCTATATGTCCAAGTGATCTCAGTTGGGAGGGGACAGGCCAGAGCTCCTGTGGGTTAATTTATCAAGACAGAACTGGACTCGAATTTTAGGGTCTCCACGCCCAAATAGCTAATCAGCTTATCACTCGCAGCTATGAAGACTTTGTGCTGAGGTAATGGGGGAAATACAAACCCAGGAAAATTTATTAGACAAACAGACATGGAGGATGGGGGGGGGGGAAGAAAAATCACAGGAGGAATAGCCCCCAAATATTTGTGAGTCACCAATATTGAACTAAGCAGAAACTATTGATCGTCAGCCAGCAAAATTTGTCACTCCATCGCTACAGCTCACCTGCACACAGCAAATTTTACAAGCGACATCGCTTCTCTGGGACTCAGGTTTCAGCTCAAACCATATTGCTGAATAATCCAAGTGGACCCACATGATTTACATATTTGTAAATGTGGCTGTCAGAAACCTAATTCAAATATAAAATATACAGTCAACCTGCTGGTAATGGCAATCAGGACGCAGGTGTCTTGTACAACTCAGAAAGGGGAAGGGGCAGGGAGGGGGGGGGAAGCCAATGTTGCAGGACTGAAATGGGTCTCTTCGACTAGATTTGAAAATGGTTTGAAAACAAAATCAACTGCTGATCCAACTATGATAACTACTGTTTACATTGCTCATCGACCTTTTGATCAGAGCTGCACATAAACACCCCAATCCATACCCATCACGGAAATGTCTTGAACACAAAACATATTAGTCACCCAGTTTGACGTTCAGGGACTTAAAAGTCGAATTGATAAAAGTGCATTAACTCATCACATTCCAGGTGAAGTGGCTGCACAGATGCGAGAGCATATATATTTTCTGTAGCTTACTCGCCTTTAAACTTTACCCTACCGAATAAATTCTACACACGTACGTAATGGGTGGCCTCGTGCTTGAACACCCAGCCTAAAGAGAAAGTGGAAATAAATGCTGCGACCACAATTATCCCTTTGCATTGCACTGAGGAGAACGCTGTATGTTGTTTGCAAGAAAAAACATTTCATGATACAAAGTACACAGGATAAAGCCAAATGCAGTACAGAAGGGGTTAATTTGTGCTGACTCATTAAAAAGCGAGCTACGGGTTTATGAAGAGCACAGGCTCTCGTTTCGATTTATAAATAGCTATATGTTTAAGTTTCAGATTTCTATAAGAGTCCGATAGGGTTTTAATAAAAGAACAGAAACCTTGAACAGTCCAGTCCATCTGTTCCAATCAGTGCAGGGCCAGTAGCAGGCGCTTCTTACGTGCACATCTCCATGGCACTACGGAAATCAATCTCTGACTCAGATCTACTCCATTAGAGCACAATTGCACTTTATTCTCATTTCACCTTTGCCAGTTCTCTTAGTCACTGCTCTGCTGCCGTGCATTCAAAAGCAGTGCAGCTATGCAACAGCTAATGATGAATAAATGTCGTCAGCACATCTCCGACCACAAGCAAAGGTAGATAAGAATTGCACTTAAGAGATTAATTAGCATGCTGGAAATCAAGCATAAATCTATCTTCAAATATTTAGATGAGATATCTATTAGGTTGGGTTTTTTTTACAGGGGAATCTTTTTTTCTTTTTCTCCCCTTTTTGAAGACTTCACTTGGATTTACTCACCCAAGGATTTATGGATGGAGAACAACACACATCATGAAGATACACCCAGCTCAGACACTCAGTGAGCCATCAAGGAAGGCATCAAGTATATACTTGCACTGGCTACTCTCCAACCCCTTACCTCAGAGACCATTCTTCATGACTGCACCTAATGAGCAACCACTATTTACGTCACTCAGGACATGGAGCAGTACATAACAGACAAGGACGATTGTATTCTCATTCAACGAGTTCTCCCTGTCGCCCCCAGCCTGTGGAACACTGAGGCCAATACGGTTGCTCTGTCTCTCTTCCCCCACCGTCCAAACCCCCATTACTAGTTCTCAAGTTAACTAATTAATAACATACATTCAAGATCCTTCCATGACCTGAAATATTTATGATGTGCAAATATTATATTAAACACATATGCAATAAAAAAAAATCTACCTCCCTTCCAAAAATTTTCAAAAACATCCCCTCACCCTTTCTCCCCACTGGAATATTGCTCTACTGACACTCTCCAGACACCCTACTGAAGCAGCCAATATTTACGTGTCAGCATCGACAGTGAACTTTGACATCTTATTCAAACCACGGTAGGAGCGACAGATAGCCGAGCCCAAACATATATGGGTAGAGAACGACACACCACGAGGACACACACAGCCAGACCCCCAGTGTGCCATCAAGGGAAGGTATGTCCATTTTGCAATCGAAACAGAAGGCTGAAAGTTCTCAATAATGGACACGCACTGCGCCTGGGACGCTGCCAAAGCATGTGTGAATAAAGTTCCAATAAACCGGAGCACATTGAAGTTGCATGAAACTCCTGCAGCCCAGATGTCATTTCACACCACTGTTATCACTTCACACCTGGACTGCTTTCCCTGGCTCAGTTTCAGGTAAACTCAACAACTTGAAACGCCCGAGGTGTCCATCTTCCCACGTCTGCCATTTTACGACTTGTGGAAAGAAGGCTCGCAAACGTGATTAACACGCGATGTAAAAAGCCAGACAAAAAACAAAAAAATTCCAAGTACTCACCCCTTTGTTTCCTTCAAAGCGAATTCCGGGCTGGGGGGAAACAGTGCCCTAAAGAGAACAAAAAAAACATAGCTAAACATTTCAATGTCATGATCTTTGCGCTGATCTTCAAATGCTTATCCTCCGTGCTCCATTCTCTCTTCAAGCTAGTCTAACTCCATTCTCCCGGACAACAACAACAATAACAAATTACATTTGTGTAGCGCCTTTCACGTCGGAGGGAACGTCCCAAGGAACTGCTGCGTGTTCCCCGCTCATTTGGCTGCCAAGCTTCCAGCCACCTGCTCTCTGGAATTCTTTCCTAAAATCACTCTGTATAATAATCATTGCATTTTATTATAGCACCTTATCATGTTAAGATGACTCAAAGCACTTCACTGAATATACCCTAAAGTGGAGTGACTGTATTTTGTGGGCGAATCTGCACACCCCTCTGGGGTGGGAGAAAATTAAGTCATGAGCAATGATGTAGAGAAGCCAGTAATGAGTCCAGTCTTTGGAGTGGGTAGAAGAACATTTTACAGAGGAGACTTGCCCTGCAGTAATGCACAGGTAATATAAGGTTCTGCTAACACACCCAAATACAACTGGTGTTTAGACACAACTCGCACTCACTATTCTCCAGAGTTCCTGATCTCAGCTGTGTTACCAAACAGAGGTTTTGCAAGCAGGGGAAACAAAGGGTGAATCACATAGATTGCTGCTCTTGCTTAACATCCGGCAGTCACAAGCAATTTTGGCCCAAACCTGCACGGGGTCATCTGACAAGCCTTATTTGGGAATGGTGCGTGGCGACTTTGAGTGAGGAGGATGTGTACAACAGAGTAACAATTCATTACAGATTGAAACCTGGAGCAATGCCCAACAGAGGATTTATTACATCTTGAGCCACGACATGCAGAGTGCCTGTGACTGATGATTCACAACATCCCAAACACAGCACACACACACCAGTTTCCAACACTTCATTTTCTGCCTCCAGCAGGTTCCTCCACTTAGGACCTGTACCTAGCTAGTGCAGTATTTTGTGGGCAAAACGCAGCAGCCAAATGCCATTTGGCAAAGAAAACAATTTGCATGAAGTACCAAAGTACCAAGATTCACATTTCACGAACAAACTAATATAGACAATTGTTCCTGAAAGAACTTGATGCCCATCTACAGTTGGTATGTGCAGTAAAACGTGATCCATTAATATCAACCCTATTAGCTGGAAGGTGATAAAACTGAATTTAAGATTGTGAGAATGTGAGAATGTAATTGGAGAAGACACTGACCCAACCCCTCAGGGTTAGACTAATTCTCTGATCCGCTTGCATTGCCTTTCCAAGACCGATGCAGCATCAGAACAGCGGCTACTATTCCCAAGCCTCTGAAGAACCAAATCGCTCACTATTGTAGAGAATCACAATTAAACATCTCAGCCAAGATTTCAAAATGTTTCAGCAAATCAGTTCCATTGCATTGTTAGGCCCAGCCAATTAACAGCACACAAAAAAAGCATTATGGATGCAAAACCTAGACCTACATTTAAAAGGATATTCCTAGTCAGTCGTATCTTAATTGATAACGCACCTATTTTTTTTAAAGATAACCCCCAAGAAGACTAAATTACTGTACACACTTTCTCCAATTGACGTTACAAGAGGAAAACAGCAAGACAAGCCCAGGCAATACGATGTCAGCTCTGACAGATCACTGCATTAGCACGTAGTGATGGCATGTACAGTCAGCAGCATCTCAGCAAGTCTGTCTTTTCCAACACACGTTTGTTGTAATCATATACACAGACACACATTTGTAATGACAAGGAGAGCGAGAGGAGTATTGAACCATTCAGCATTCCTTTAGTAAATGCGTGCAAAGGTTATGAAATTGGAAAATACCAAAAGCTGTGATAACCAACTCTGTCTGTGATAATACTTTTGCAATTTGTTCAGAAATCGCATTCTCAGGGTCACAACTTCCACTTATACTGCGCCCTTCACACAGAGTAGCGCTTCGGGGGATTTAACAGAGCCTAACATCGAGCCGGGGGGGGGGGGGGGGAGGTGACCGTAAGCACAAAGAGGAAGGTCTTCAGGGGTGATCTGAAAATGGGGAAGGGTGGGCAAGCCGGAGGGATTGAGGGAGAAAGTTTCAAAGTTTCAGGGTGTAGTGGCCGAAAGCACGATGGTGGAGCAGAAGGGACAAGCAAGGGCCCAGAGCTAGCAAAGCAGAGGCGGCCGGTGGTGGAGTGGGGAGTAAACAAGCGGGAGAGGCAGAGAGGTGCTTGGGCATGAAGAAATTTGTAGATGAGGGACAGAGTCTGCTCAGCATGACGATCAGCATGTCAACAAGGAAATTTTCAATAAAGGCCTAATGCAGTATTAGCAGCTGCTTTTAAGCTAAACGTGTGCCATTGCATTCATTTTGCATTCAGAGTTAGTGTATACGGGATTCAAAGTCTCAACAACATCGTAAGGCGTTATAGCAGATCTGAATTAATAGTAATAGGATTCCAAGAATTACTATTATAAAATGGTCTCTGCGAAAAGGCTTTTTTTTCCAAAGTTCAAGAAAAATGCTTGCAAAACCGGCACTTAAAAAGATTATTTTAAAACCAGAATGTTTAGTTGCATTAACATAAGAGGATACAACATTAGCGAAGGAGGATACAACATGGTGGGAGAGTAAATCAGACAGAATGGCTCCCAAAGCACAGATTATGGGGTAACTGACTATTTTGTCAGTAATACTGTTTGCACTCTGGAACTACTCATTAACGTCGGGTTTTGGAATTACTTTCACTGCGGTTAATTATCAGGTTCCTGGCTTGCAGAATTAACACCCACCGATTTTTTTTTAAAAATCAAGGAAGTTGATCAATTGGGGGCTGTAATATTTGGAATACATCAGGACCTTCCAGATTTTGCCACAAAACAAATGCAAAATCACACTGCACAGCATAGAGCAAGACCCAAGTGTGCAGCAGGAGAATCAACCACCATCAGGACAAAACAAAGAACAATTCAATTATTTTAAACGGAGAATAATAGGATGCTCAAAAGGGAACAATTCAGCCAACGTAAACGGTGAGTGAAATCAATTGTTTGAGTCCTGAGTGGATTACCAGCCCTCAAACAGGTTTTATTTTAAATCACATTTGGAAAACCATGTAGCCAATTGTATTCCGTTCTTCCTCTGTGCTTTAGGGGGTCTGGGAGCCAGGGTTGAAGTGACCATTGATGGCCAGTTTAATGTGATTTCGTTTTACATCTTTGGATTGGAGCAAATCGTAGAAATGATCATCTTGAGCTAAACTACTCATGCTCTATGTACATTCTAGAATAATTACGTTTAGAATTACTTTTAGAATATTGGGCTTTTGAACAGCTATGAATTTAGCACCACTGCATGAATTTATACACCCAATTCAAGTTTCTTATTAATGATGGCCTGAGTTGTAGGCTGGCTTTTTTGACTGTATTACTCACTCTCGATCTTTAGGGTACTTTAGGATACAAGCAATACAGTGAAAGGTGAAAGTGGCACTATTCCACAGCTTTACACGCTGGTTATAAGGTAATTAAACCTGGCTTTTACATGAATGTAAAGCAGATCTAATACATTAATTCTTTGCATACTTTTAAGCCAGTCAGATGTCACTGAACTGAAAAGTGTGTGAGGCAACCAGAGCATTGACCAGCACAATACTGTAAAATCTTAAATCTTATACATCCCTGACACTTCACCAGCATTCAATTAGTCAAGTCCCTCTAGAATCTGATTCAGGAAAATTAATAGTTGAGTAGCTGGCTAAGACGTGCTGTCACTTGCTTGCTGACGGAATGACTAATTCCCAGTTTTTCTAAACAGGAATCAACAATATCTTCACCACAATAGCTCAGGAGCCAAGCATTAGGTCTCAGCAACATCAATAGTCTGTTCACTACGTTCAGTTAGTTTTGACCAGTTCACAATCTCCAGAAATCCAGATTTTTTTTGAATGAATGAATCGTCAGCCTTGATCTGCTAAAATAAATTATAAAGATACAAAATGTGGTTTGTGCAATAGCTCTTGACACAGCCTTGATTTAGTGTTCTCCTCCCAAAATGCAAATGCCATTTTATTCACAATACCACTCGGGAGGTGATAGTCGACGGCACAAAAAATAATGTAAAGCAGAAAAATCTCTGTGGGTGTAGCAAAAGGAGGGATAAAGGGATAATATATTCATTCTGGAAGCAGACTAGAGAGTATTTGATCTTTCTCCATAATTTTTTTCCTCTTTGCAGACTATTCCGAACATCTCCCAATGTACATGCGTGAGACATGATTGAGTGTTGTCGGACTCTTTGGAGATTGTGCGAGCATCACAAGTGAGTCCAATAATGTCCTCATCTGACATCTATGCCTGTTACTTACTGTCCAGCAGGGGTGTCTCAATTGCAAGCAGGAGAGAACGTACTGCCTGATTTTCACTAACCCAGACATGATGTAGCCAGTAGTTACCCTAAATGCTGCCCTATCTGAGAACAGCCAACTCAGCAGAGAGCAGAGGTTCAATCTTGCAAAATTTCAGGCTGTGGGGTCAAGTGCTGCAACCAGCTGGTGCTTCATCCACTAACACTTCGCAGAAGTTTTTTTTTACTACTCCATACACCTACTTCATCCTCCTCCTTCAGTGTAGATTTTTACTCCACAATTAAACATTAAGAGGATGATGCTTTCTAGCTCGCAATTGCTGTAAACGTGGAACTGCAGCCTTGCAGCTGGATTGTAAAAATGGGGTGGGACAGTACTAATTGATTACAATTAACACATAATTAAATGAAGAACTGTCTTGTCATCAAGCCAGATCTTATTAGTCAGTGTACACAATTTATAGAGCCATTTGGATCCTGTTCTTCTCAACCGCTGAGGATATTGCAGTGATAAAACCAAATTCTCAACTGTTTTAATTTATTACGTAAGATTTTTTCGGGGGGGGGGGGGAGAGAAAGAAAAATACAGCCTAACTATAGTTGCTCTGATCAAAGGGAGAAACGAAAAATATTCCTCGGGT